GCCCAGGGCATTTTGGGATCAGACTCCTCCCACTACCCCTGGCCAGGCCCCTACTCACATCTTGCCGTGTAGTTGCATAGCGAAGGATCCCGTCCTCAAGCACAAAGTATCTCTGTGAAGTTGTCCAGGAGGAACAGGACCCAGGTGACCAAGAGAAAAGGGTGTGGGGAGAGAGCAACCATACCCATGGACTTTTCTTCTCCTTCTCGACACAAACGTACATATACACACACACACACACTACCACCCAGCAGCCTCCAGCATATCCCCATCCTGCCCTGAATCTGGCCCTGCCCTTTGCCCTGCCCAACCTACCTTGTGCCAGCCCTTCAGAGGCCACTTCCTCTTCTTGAGCAGGTGGCCTTCCTGCCTCTCGGGCATGATATCCCCTGCACCTTGCCAGCCCCGAGGCTCCTCCACCACCTCCCACAGCTCAGAGGCCTGCAGTCCAGGACAGAGTTGGGGAGGGGGTGGATGGTGATGCCCTTTTGGGCTAAATAAAGCCCACCCACTGCCTGCTTCCCGCCCTCAGACCTGCTGGGCACTGCTGGACTTTGCAGATTGAGTGCTCTCTGACAGCGAGGGAGGGCCCCTCTCTTGGAAGTCCATGGAGAAGGGAGTGGCCACCACTCCCTGCTGAGGACTCAGAGCAAGGTGAAAGGGGAAGGATGTCGCCTTGTCCTGAGGGGGCCCTTGAAGCAAGAGAGAGATCTCATTAGCACAGACCCTGCTATCACCTTCTCCACCTCCAACCCCTCCCGCACCCTCTAAGACACAGCACATCTTCTCGCTCACCTGTCCTGCCTCTCCTGAGTCTGTCCCTACCCCACCTTCCTTGGGTCTCCCTGCCTACACCTTCCTGCAGCCACGATGTGCTAGTTCAGAGAGGCAGGCCAGTGCCCAGAGAAAAGCATGGAAAGTTCACCCAGCCCCACCCTGAGCACACATTCTCGGGCCTGAGGAAACACTCAGTGCTTTCTCTGGAGGATTTCCTGGGGGTGATCAGAGGTGAGGCAGAGGAGTAAAGAAAGGGGCTCCAAAATAGGCCAGAGGAATTCAGAGACTAGACACGCAAGATCTCAATCCAGCTCCTCTTCCTTCAAGACCCCGGCACCTCCGCCACCATGGCTTGGAAGACTCCTCTGCCATCACACTCCCACAGAGTCCCCCAACCCCTTCATCCCAACTCCCCACCAACTGGTCCTTATATCCTCTAGTGCTTGGGGTCCCATTTTCTGCATTGGGAAACTGAGGCCTGAGACAGCCCCCATTGTTCCCTGTGCCTCCTCCCATCAAACCCCCCTAGGATGTTCACCTCAGACCCTCAGTGTCCCCCAAAGCCTCACCATCCCCTTCCCATCATCCCAGTGCTTGGGGTTCCTGAGAAGTACC